GCATCAAAATATGAAGCCGTCTGCCATTGCGGACGCGCTCAAGAAGACTTATGGGATATCGGTCGGCAACAAACAGATAACAACTTTCTCAATCGAGTCGCTCACAGACAGATTCCTGGGCATCGCCGCTCAGAATCTGAAAGACCGCTGACTTCCTGTAGCCCCGACAACTCCGCAATGGTCTGCGATGGTCAAGAAGTTGTCGATCTCGCCGACCTCAGAAGACGCATCGAATTTGCGTGGCAAAAACTTTCGATTTCGTTCGTTCGGAAGGCCATTGAAGAATTCCGTGATCAAGTACAATGTGCTGTTGATTTTGCGGTGGTAATATTCAGTCAGAATTTAATAAAGTTTGATTACATTGGTGGTACAAGCCGAGCAGTGAAAGTGGCTCTTTTTTTTGGGCACCCCTGTAGACGCTGCTTTTTCTTCCTTCTTTGTTGGCTTCTTACCAAACGGTGCGAATTTCATTCGAGTTGCTCCTTTATTGGCTTTCCACCGTTATTGGCAAATTGCAAAGTTCATTATATAATCCGTCAATGCACGTTATTTCACAGGTGTACCTAGTCATGGACAAAAGCAGCAGGCATGGCCTGAACCCAGATCAACGGTATTCGAGTATCGTGTTTATCCACTACTCTACTGCAAGCCCGGGCTTCGCCGTTTAGTTTCTCAATGACTTCTTTACCATAACTTCTTGGGATTCTCACTACAGTAAGACTAGATTGATAAGGAGCACGGTAAGTAGATAACCGGTGGGAACTGGGAGACTAGTGACTGGGGACTCAATAGCTTCTGAACAGTGCCGTAAACTATAAATGCGGTTCCAGGTTCACGGGCAAAGTTCTGATCACTACTCAGCAACTATGAGTAATCTTCTCCTTATCATTAGGATAGATGTCTATGGGGCATTGTTGTAAATAGGAGCATCTCCGTTTCTGATAAGAGCGCTGACTCCAGCCTTTCTGAAGATTGAATTCATGTATCAAGTCGTCTTCTCATTCTCAGTGCACATATATACATGGAGATACATGGGTGATACGTCTTGTTCTCTTTTTCTGCTATATGAATGTGGTACGGATGCTAACAATCCGTTTTCATGGTTATCGCTTCCGTAGGAAGATCATAACTGAGACTTTCAACATTTGCTGCGGAAATAAGCTATCAAGCGTGGCAAGCGCTTTTGATATGAGCAGGAGCTTGTTACGAGGCGTAATCAGGTGATGTATTAGCCTCTGATGCTCGAGATGCCCTTCTTTTGTGCATGAATACCAAGGATCGACGTCTTTCGGTAAACAGGCGTAGATTCTTGTTCTGCTCGCCAAACAATGGTCAGGGAGAATTTTTTCTGACGAGCTCCCGCATACTTTAAGCGGAAGAGGTGTCTGGGCATACTATGGGTATGGTTGACAGAAAGGTTGTTGAAATCTGTGGTTTCAATCAATCCCGTTTCGGGATGCGCTTCACATTCCACTTACATTCAGAATCGTAGTTGGTCGCTTATTGGCCCATGTAATGACATGCGGTGGCGAAACGTTGTGCGACCAGTGCTTTTACCCTCCCAGACAAATCCGATGCCGATTAACAAAATTTGTGGGCAAAGCTTCTATAAAGGGACTGGGAGGATTGACGGCGCAAGCGAGTATCGTTATAATACATAGAACATGAGTGCACCACTTGCCGCAATACCATCTTCGCCGAACGGGAAAGTTAGGATTTTGGGTTTTGGAGTTTTTTCCGACAATTGAAAACAATGGTATAGAAGTCGACTGGGTATCTCATCTGTATCTGTACCCTTTCCGCTTGAATAGCATTTCTATAATGAAAAAATTTCTCCCCAGTTCCGAAATTAATGTTTTTTTNTTTCTTTCTTTCTTTTTTTTTCGCGCGAGGTAATCGTCCCAGCCACACAGGTGTTCCTACCTTACCTAGGCTTAGTTGAAACACTACACTTCTTCGCTAAAACCGCTCCCATCATTCCCTCCGCTTGTAATACAGTGTTAGTATAACAATGACTAACATGTTAGACTGAGTTCATTTCTTCATATACTAGCCTTTGGATGGGTTCCCCCCCCCCCTAACTACATTTTCACCCATTCTCTTTCGCGGTCGTACTTGGACGGTCTAAACGTTCAAGCGTTTCTACGATCAGAAAAAAGCTTGAGCGTAGGTGCATGGTACATCCATTACAGATGGCCTCTGTTATAATCCTTTGTGCCTAACTGTGAGCAAGTAGGTTACGTTGATTAGGCGTTTATAAATGGTTATCTCACACGTGATCAAAGGCATAATGAAATCAGTTCGGACATTACACAAGGTCATTTGTGTGCCAATTAAAGAAAGTTCGCATGCATGTTGCATGTTCAAAGAAACAAAGCTCAAACGTCATTACTATTGGCGAACTTTCCACTACTCTCACCAATTCTTCTAAAGGGAAGAGATTATTGTAGTGTTTTCTTCAATGGACACAGAGTTTTGGGCCTTCGCAAACTAATGACTCAGCAATGTTATCTCTGATGAAGAGGACCAACAAAAAGTTTGTAGAAACATCCATGAATATTTATAAGTACACGATATAAAAACATCGAATCTTGTAGACGGCTTCTTTCACTTTTTTCCATTGAGTCCATTCTGAATACAACTGAATGAAGTGATCATCGATACGATGAACGCTTTCGTTGGATACTACAGAAGGGCGTTCTACGCTGATTCTCAAGATGCCACAACACGATGCGAAGCGGGATCTTAGCACTCGTTGGAGGTTTCCAATAGTCCAGAGCAACCACCACACCAATATTGCGGAGGAACTGAAAACTTAGGATCAAAAACAAGCGCTCCCAAGAGAGCACATTTTACTGTTCCTAGTAAAAGCGTTTGGCTTTAAAGAAACGTGCATTCCTACACTTCAAGGATTCGAGTGGAAGCTTGTGCTGGTCGATTGAAGAAGATTATCTTATGCACGAAGAAAGCCAGAGAGTCGTACAGTGTAGTGATTTTGACATGCTTAGGTTCTTGCTTGCACTGTCAGATACACCGGTCGAGATTAGGATGGTAATTCGAGAAGTAGCGGATGAGAAGGGACATTGTACGAGGGAAACCATTATCTGCAGCGCTCAGACTGCCTCAGTGCGGCACTAGGTTTTAGCGGATTGTGGCATCCTTCCTTTCATTTCGAGCAATTTGTTACCGCCGGGGAACGGAAAACTACTAATTCGGTGAAGTTATCTTCGATAGATCCACATGTACCGATGTCTATTCGTTTATAAAGCTGAGTGGTCTAGGCAGAGTGTCAGGTTTAGGTAAGATGTTAAGGAAATGAGTGAGTAGAGTGGTAGTAGGTTTGAGAGAGGGAATGGAGAGGATAGACAGGTGGAACCAGGCCTAGATTTTCAAAAGGGCAATAAAATTGTAATGGGCATAGGTTGATCAACTAGAACCCATCCTCAGTTCAGGCTTTTGGTGAGCGCATTTGAAGCTTCCGATGACAACATAAACCATACGGTCACCGAGGTAGAGAGGTGAAAAAGGAACTTAGGGCGACATTATTGTTGAACAGCGAATAGAATAAAGGTCCGGGGAGATCCATCGCAACAAAAATTGTAAGCGCTGAGCTAGAACCCACATCCTGACTTTTAGGGATGTCAGTACCGTTTTTTTTNTTTTTTTTGTGCAACATAGCATCCTCTGCTTCTTCTAATTTCAATTACTGTGCTGACGCTTTTGTGCATTGGAATAAGTGAATAAAGATGGTCGGTGCCGTTGCCCATGGGTATCGGAACTTCTTACTCATTTCGAGCATCTCTTTTTTGAATCACCCTTACCAATATAATTTTTTTATTTCAGCATGTATGTCACCCTTCTTCATATTGGTCGTGGTTCTAATATCTGTACTTATTATGACATTATCGTCTGTGACTATCATTATGGTCCATCGTAAAGACGTGGCCATCCTACACGACCTTACGAACAAAACAGGCTTGTCAACAGTCACCTACACACTAAGCCTCAAATTCCAACTTGAGGAAAATGTTCGAGTGACCAGGGTTCGTTTAAAGTATTTCGCTTGTTAGTATTTCACTGATGGAACAATTTTCTTTTGTATATTTATATGTTTGTGGTTTAGCTAGTGATGTTTCTTTCTATGGGTTATTCAGTATGGGGATTTATCGGATGTGGACTTAATGGCACAGCGTTTATAATTTTTGATGCGACGGATCCCCTTGGACATTTATTCTATGCGCTGTTCAACAACTACGCCGCCCTGTAAGTTCCTTTCTTCATTACCTCGGTTGATCGAAGTCATCGAAAGCTTCAGATGCACTCGACAAAAGCCTCAACTGAGGATGGGTTCTAGTGTATCAACTTAGGCCCATAACTGATATGATTGCCCTTTTGAGAATGTGAGCTCGATTCTACCGATCCACACGCTCCTGTCCTTCTCTCCACCCCACTATCACTCTTCACTCATTTCATCAACATCCTACCTAAACCTGACATTTTGCCTAGACCACCCCTTTATTAACAAAAGGACATTGGTACATGTGGGCCTATAACTTTACCGAATTAGTGGTTTTCCGCTCCCGGGCTGTAACAAACCGCTCGAAATGATTAAGGGATGATGTCACAATCCTTTAAAACCGTGGGTCATACTGAGACAGTCTGAGCACTGCAGATAATGGTAGTCGGTACAACCTGATCTTGTTAGGACGTACACCAAATACTTCTTGTGGTATAAACTGATTCAATCGATCACCACCAAGCTTTTGTTAATCAATTCCATGTTTGCACGGCAACCTACAACATACGAATTAGAGCGACCGCACAAAACAAAACTGGAAGAGAATGGTAATAGAAAGAAAGTACACTGAGTTAGACATGTAGAGGTAAAGGTATGGTAATAGAAAGAAAGTACACTGAGTTAGACATGTAGAGGTAAAAGTAGGAGAGATTTCAATAAAAGATACCAATATGGAGAGATTCTAATAAGAAAAACGCAACCAATAAGCAAAACTGGCGAAATAATAATGGATCGACTGTCGATAATCGATTGTCAAGCGCAAATAAGGCGTATAGATGAGGGAGGGGAGTCTAGCGGGCCTGCTTCGAGAGTGCGAGTCTCCCGGTAGTGCTTCTTTTCCTGCGGGAAGAGCTCGACCGGTGTATCTGACAAACATGAACCTAACCATGTCAGAAATTACTACCCTGTATGACTCCCTGGCTTTGCGTGCATATAACAATCTTCTTCAATCGACCAAGCACAACTTCCCACTCGAGTCCTCAAAGTGTGGGAATGCACTTTTCTCCAGAACTGCTCGGATGCTTTCAGTGGGAAGAGTAAAATGTGCCATCTCAGAACCTTACTTGTTTTTGATCCTAAGTTTTCAGTTCCTTCGCAATATTGGTGTGGTGGTTGCTCTGGACTATTGGAGGTCTCCAACGAGCGCTGAGAACCCACTTCACATCGTGTTGTGGCATCTTGAGAATCAACGTAGAACGCCCTTCTGTAGTATCCAGAGAGAGTATCCATCGCATTGATGATCACTTCAAGCAATTGTATTCAGCATGGACTCCATAGAAAAGGGCGAAAGAAGCCTTCTACAAGATTCGATGTTTTCATAACGTGTACTTATAAATATTTGTGCATGTTACTATTTGAAAACACTTCTGCCAAGAGCATCCAAACTGAGACCGAAGGGCCAAGCAAAACCAAACTTCGTGAAAATATTAAGTGTCAGGAGTTTCCATCGCGATCCGGATTGTCGCCTTATAATTTAATGACGCTTATTATGGAGCAGCAATATCTATTCCACAAGACGCTTCGCTGCTTCTCCCTTCTCCCATATTGCTGTTTCTTGCATTCTTCCTTCTGCTAAAGCTATGAATGCGAGAAATGTAAGCGTGCAGAAAAAGAATAAGAGGTATCTATCTAAGTAAAAGACATCACTACCTTTATGAGTGGCAAAATGTCAGGATTGTAAAAACTGATGACGAGCAGAAGCATCTGAAAACGCTGTGTTTGACGAGCCTGGTAAGTTCAACGAGGCCCTAGCTTCCCCACCGTAAGCTCGAAAAATTGTAGAGCTGGTGGCGACGCATGCTTATGGAAGCTTGTTCATGAAAATCAGCTCTTGCTGCCAGCTAATCATGTGGGGCTGCATAGTTCACCAAAGAGGNGGGCTAAAAGAGAAAAAACACGTTAAGAAGCCATTGAGGGGAGGAGGCCGAAAAGACCAGCTATGCAAACGAGATTTGTATGAGCCGTAAGTCTCACCTTCAACCAGGCATTAATACTAGTTCATAAAGTAAAGCATCATACTCAGGGTTTAGCGACGAACAGGAATATGAGCCCGCAAAAAGGACGGTAAATTTAAAGCTGTCAAGAACAGATGCTAAGCTGTGGCCTCACAGAAAAAACGAGCGGGAAAGCATGCTACAAAAGTACAAGTTGTAATTCCAGTCTTCCTTATTTCAGGTTACTCGTTAACGTCAATGTTAAATTATGGTAGATTTGAGAACGAAAAAAGATATCTCAGATAAGTTTCTCCGAGGTAGCTATGTATGTGAAGGTTCTAGAGGCAATACTATATAAGCATCGGTGCAACGAGAGCGGGGCTTCTTGGAGTGCTAACCACCGATACTCTTCCCGTATCACCGTTGTGTCGTCGTCGAACTGTGTTAAATAAAGTATTATTGTCTACGCGTGTTCGGCCATCCCACGCATCGGTAAGATACTGGCGAGTATTTCTACCAAGGACGATTGATGAATGGTACTTGTTTTACTCTTCACTTTCTCTCGTACCATGTCGTTCACTTTGCTCTGAACAGGAGTTTTCTGCGACACCGAGCGTAAAACCTTCTATTGAAGTATAAACTCCTTTTCCTTTTTCAAAAACTTCAAACGGAGAGAGAATTGTACTCTACGAAGATGAGTCTGCAACATCAAGCACCAGATCTAGCCGATTCCACGAGGTTTCGTTTCTTCCTGCTACATAGGACAAAATTTCGATGGAAAAAAGGAGATCTATCAAAGTCAAAGTCATATTGGCCTCTACTGCACAGCTCGTCAGTAATTGTCTTTAGATTCTTCAGCGGTACCTCGCAGGGTTGAGTAACGTCGGCTAGAACTCCCTCGACAATCGGCTGTTTTCACATGACGCTTTTTATTTCTTTCTTATCGTCGGAGCTCATTCCACAATGTGATGTTCTTATTGAGACAGAAAAGGGATTTGAGAGACAAAATTCAGTTCTGACAATGAGTACTTTTGCAGCAGGTCTCTAAAGCATGACTGCCTTCTTCCCAAGAGTCTCCGCTTCTGAATCGGCTAGCGAACTAACCAGGAAACGTTCCTTCATGTGTTGTAAGCTTCATTACTATTATACTTGCCAGAATGTAAATCAGTCCATGCTTGATTTGTTAGGTCAAACTTGCATAGCGCATGGAATCATATCAAACATCATATTCCAAAATGATGTTCGTTTTTCTAAAACCCGGAGAAATAAGTAACAAGTACAACGGCTTCGAATAGTATTGTGTTAAGGAAAACATGACAGGACTCTTCCTGAAGCTTGTTTTCCTTCCAATTCTTCTAGGCATCCTGAAATGGCTCATGGACTTCCTTTCGTCAGTGACATGTGTTTCTGTTTCATGTGACTCCTGAGAGGATCAGAACTTTGAGAACGTATAGAAAAGGATCGTCATCAGACCTCACATTTTAGAGAAAATCTCTAGAGTAGTAACAGAGATGTTACTGCTTCCTTTCTCGACTGATTAGCTCGAAGTGGGAGAGAATGAGCTGTGGTCTAAGAAATAACGACATCGAAGGGGGCGGGATCGAAAGGGATGTAAGCGGCTGAGTGCTCCGGCTTCTTGTCCAAGTCACAACGATGTTGGTAACACTTCAAAGTGGCTTGACTCTTTTTGTACCGGTAATATTTCCTGGTGAAATATTCGGAATATACCCAAGCTTTCGTATTTTTTATGCCACTGAACTGGGCTTTATTCTAATTACTCTTCCTGGAGTGTTCCTACTTATACGAGTGCTTGGCAGATCCGTTCGTCTTTTTCATAGGAATCTTACCAGAATTATGCAGGTAACTTGTGCAGTGATTTTTGATTAAAAAAACTACAACAAGGAATTATGACAAATGTTTTTTACGAACATGTCATTAGGCTCATTATAGGCAGTGTTAGGTGATAAATTGAGACCTGTTCTCTAGAGAGTAATTTGAAGCTCATTGAAAAGCAGTAATCAGCATCATTCGAAAACAGCAAGCAAATTATGGCAATCATAAGTTTCGGTCTCAAATATTCGAATTAGTAGGAAGGCGACCGGAAGTATGTCTAAGCTCAAGCAACAAAAGACCAACCAGCTTTTAGTTTTTTGAAGGCCCGTTGAAATTGAACCATAAATAAAAAGCGGTCCAGTTGGTAAAAAATGATTTCAATCACAAAACCACTTAGTACTCATAGGAAAATACATGTCTGACCTTTTTGAATGATGAAATGATTCAAACTGGGACACGTTTGTTGTGAATGTTGTTCGGTGATATATATTTATAGCCAAACACGTTGCTCTGCATGCTGAAACCTCGTACGGATCTCTCCTTAATCGTCGTAACCGGGACCAACTTTGGAAACAATCTCATCAAAAGAGTCCAATATTTTGGGAATTCAGCGAACTTTTTCCCTTCCTCTCCTCCAACAAGCCATTATCATGAAGACTTCCACTATGCGAGGCAATGAATGTTCAACAAATACCGAGTC